CCGTTACAGGCCTTGGAGCGCAGCCGGTACCGAGTGCCAGCCCGCCCGGATCTGTCGCCCACGGGGCTCGGCAGTGACTGTTCTCTCTTTTTTAAAGTTACGTTAAAGGTGTTAATGCTCTGTGGTTCTCCAACAGGGAGGGGAAAAAAAAAGCCCCTTATTTTTCCCCCAAGGGATTTATTTGAAAGATGGTAACAACCTTGTGTCTTTGTAAGCCCACAGGGAGCCCAGAGCTGCATTGTTCCTTGAGTTTCCGAGTACAAGCATTCATTTCCCTTCTGCACAACCAAAGGAAGGGAAAGCGCTCCTTTGCAAAACACAGCAAAGAGCAACCCACCAAGGCCTCAGATGCATCAACGGCAGAAGTTAACACAGATAAACACATCTGTTGCCAAAAACTTCTGTTGTCTTCCTAAAGACAATTCCCAATCAAAAGCAGATTTCCTGTTAAAACTGCAAATGACAATGCTGTGCTCCTATCTGCCAGTCACTGTCTTGACCTGCTGGTGACTTCAGTGCGAGAGGGCTTTTCCCAGGTTACATACAAAGTAATACAGGAGAAAGTGGGAGTATGAGACTAGAGCTGTGTGCATGTGCAAGCAATGCTTTCTTAGAACTCACTGCAACTTGGAAACGTCTCCATGTGCAAAAGTAGACAACTTCCAGAGCTGACAGTACTTACAGTGCAATGTGTGCAATTTAAAAAGTGGTTTTGAAACTACATAGAGACCACTCTCCCAAAATAACTAATTGAAACTTAACAGCACAGAGAAACCAAACACCTAGTTTAAAGAAGAGCTGTAACTGCAAACCTTGATAGAAACATGCCTCTTAAGAGTACAGCAACTCAAAAATTCCATAATTCTAGAAGCAAAATCCATGAACAGAGCCACCAAGAACTAAAGTGCTCCCAGCTAAACTACAGAGCAGAAAGTATCTTTGTTGTCAGGTTTGGGACCAGCAAACTCCACCATTGCCCAGCACCAAAGCCTGTATTCTCAAAAAGCAAACACAACAGCGCTGACTGGCAGGGAACAACTGCAGCAGCTTCTCCACAACAGCAGACAGAGCCAAAAGCAGCAGCGAGAGCAGCCAGCGCAGTGTCCTGCACCAGAGGGCACAGCCCCACAGTACCTGTGCGAGGGGAGCCGAGCGGGGCTGGCGGAAGCGGCATCCTCAGCTGGCAGCCGGGCAACCCAGCAGCTCTGAACCACAGACAGGTCCACAGCCAAACCAGAAAACCCCCTCAACAAGTCAAGATCATCAAAGGCCACAGCTGGTCCCAAGCCTCAGCTTATGTGGAGCTCCTGGGCCTGGGCGGAGGGCACTGAGAGGGTCCAGGTGAGGCTGGTCAGGGCCATGATGGGCTCTCAGTGCCCACAGCTGCTGCTCACCCCTGGGAAAAAACTGTTTCCAAGCTGTTTGAAAGGATGATGATCGCTGCTCAAGAAAATAAAAACGCAGAACTCCAAATTCAATTTGCTACTGGATTGGAAGGACCAAGTCACAAAATTACACTTTAAATTTATACTCTGCTGCACCTGAACTGCAGGAAAGCTCTGGCTGTGGCTCAGAGCTGTTGCCAGTGTAAACTGTAAAATAGTTAGACCATCAATATTTAGAAATCAGAAAGATTTGCTCAGAAAATCATTGTCCCTAGGCCTGCTGGGAAACTTCAGCAGCTGAGGAAAACTGCACTGTTGCTGTGGGTTTCAGGCCTTGTATTTCAGTCAAACCAAAAAGTCTGCATACTCAAGCTGTCCAAGGCTTGCGATCACCGGATGAAGCATATTCCCTCATGTATTTTTACAGCTTAAAGTACTGCTGTGTGGGCTGCTTTGCATCCATTATGGTTGTGTTTGTCTCCACCTATTTTAAAAGTAATGCCTTTCTCTATAGGAGAGCACCCTTTCTCTGTTGTTCAGAGGGACGTATCCTGGGGTTAGGATTTGTGCCTGCTTACAGTACACTGCTGTGCACTTTGCACCTTTTTGCAAAGAAGCCTGCCAAAGAACTGCAGCAAAACCAGACTGCGCACTCTCCACATGCTGTTGGTTTTCTTCTGGTTCAGAGCTGCTGCTTTATTTACAAGCTCCATCGTTCTGAAGGAAAATATTTTTCAGCATTGCAAGCGTTCACTGCTGGCACTAGCATCTAGACCAGCGTGTGTACATGCCTGTTCCTAAGTCATCTACTACTTCTCAAATTCAATAGGAGAGCTCACTCTCTACGCATTCAAGCCTACACAACCACCAGAATCAAGAGAAGAAAACCACACTATTCTTGAGAGACGAGGCATACAGCAGATGCAGACTGACTACCTTCTCGGCAGGAAATCAGCCCCCCAAATCCTCCAGCTGTTAGGGAACAAAACGGTAAATGCTAGCTAAAGAGGGGATGCGCTCTCTTATTCTTAAACCAAGTCATGTAGCAGCAAATACCCAATTACTACAGGCTCTAAAACTACAGCCTGGCAATAATAAAAGGGCACAAAGTATCTAGCATTCATGAATCAGAACAGAAAAGTATCTCATCTCATCTTTCAGCAGCAGATAAAAGGGGATTTTAGGAAAAGAGATCTGTAACAGCTAGGGAACCTCTGTATGACATGGCTAAGGAGAGAGGAAAAAAGCATTTCACAAATTGGAAGGCTATATTTTTTTTTTTCAAATCAACAAATTCCTTCTTAACACTTCCCATAAAAGGAAGTTTAGCCTCATCTTAATTCAAACTTCTTTTCTAGCTTGAAGACTTGAGTTAATGACATGGTGGCAGAAACAGAAAACCCATGTAAATTCAGGTTTGCTGGACATCTGCAATGTAAAAGGTTGAGAACAGGGTCAACTTTATGAAGGAAACTGTGATCCAAGCAGCATTACCACACTTCATTAACCAAGTCGTTTTTGCTGAAGGCAGTGAAAGAATCTGCAAATTAACCAGATACATTAATGGGCTCCAAGCTCATTTTACTGACTGCTTTTCCTATTACAACTTTAATAGGAGTGGGAAAGCCCAAATGTACACAATGAATACCTCATTTCTGTAAACTGCACTCTCTCAGCCCTAGAATAAAACATAAAAATGTATAACCAAATTTCTGGCTGCTTCATTAATGCCTTATATGAAAAGCTTTCTGGAAGCCTAAATATAATGCAAGCAAGGAAAACTTTCCCTTCTAACGCTATAAAACAGTACTACAGCCCAGGGAGGCACAGCTTTTCCTGTTTTCTGAATCATGCCCATTTACAAAGTGATTATTCCAGATTCTAGGACAAAGAATCTTTCCATCATTCGGTTTACATTTGCATGGCAATACCTGTTGGACATGCAGATTTAATGAACAAACATGTCCAATCTTACACAGATTACAACTTTTTGCATATCTTGAGCATATTTCAAAGCTAGAGAAACACATGGAAGATTTCCTAACCAAATTAGAGGCAGAGCATACAGCTAAAGCAGTTCTTCCAGTAGATACTAACAATGCAGAGGCATCCCTTGATTCTAAATTTGCAAAAGTACCTACATATTTCATCACCAAAATGCAGTAATTGAGAATGAACTTGTTTCCTATTAAAAAAATGCAATCCTAAAGGCACCTATGCAGTAATTTTTGGAAGTTCAGACTGCGTACTTCAGACGTACGCATAACCAGGTCTCCAGATGCTGTGGCAACTTCAGAGTCCAGTGAGATGCCATCTCGTAAGAGCGATTTCTGACAGAGCCACGTAACACCAGTTATTTGGTAAAAGGAGGGTAGAAAAGACAAAAAAAAGATCCCAAATTCTTAATTCTCACAGGGATACAGCTCCACTGCTTCCTGCAGAGACCTGTCCAGCAACTCCTCTAAACTGACATACACTCAAACCGGGCTCGTAGCAAGTTCCAATTTGCAGGAAGCAGAAACAAGCACTGCTACCGGTGGTAAGCTACGAAGTCCTAACTTCCTGCTTCAGGCTGACTATTAGCTGCCTAAACAGCTCAATGGATCTGCAATCATTCAATGTAGAAGACAAATTCCAGTGGTATCATAGACAATCTGCTGCCTATGGGAACTCTATGGTGCTTGACAAGGTAAGAATATTCTTACTTTTCATTTAGTTCCATGCTGTCTTAGAATTAATACTAGTTATTTGCCTTATTGTATACAGTTGTAAAACAACTAAATATTGTTTTAACAAATTCTAAGTTACAACTTAATAACTGGTGTCATAGAATCGTAGAATGTCCAGAGCTGGAAGAGACACATGAGGGTCATCAAGTCCAACTCATGACTGCACAAGGCTGCTAAAGGTTACTCATGTCTCTAAGAAGGTCGTCCAAACACTTCTTGAACACCGACAGGTCTGGGGCCATGACCACTTCCCTAGGGAGCTCGTTCAGTGCTTGACCACCTTTTCCTTTCCGAACTGTGTGAGACTCCAGACAGAAGTTGTGTTGAATAGCACACTGCTAGTCACAGTGGTAAAAAGGTTTCATAGGTCTAGGCTGGGAGAAAACACGCAAAGAAAAAACACACAAGCAGGATTGCTACATTTTTATTTACTCAGCAAACATTTTCCTCTGTGATTTTTAAATGTCATCCAAGAGCTAACTAAGATTATTAGATGCTGGCTGCTTTTTCATGATGAAACTTTTTGCTAACAGGATTTTTGTTTCCAGAAATACAGACCATTGGTTTGTTAAGGTAGCCCAGTTTAGGTAAGTACAGTTGCTAATTTCACCCACAATTAAATTATATTTACAACAGTGCACCATGCAGTTAATCTACAGAGGACAACACTTCTCATCCACAATGTTCTACTCCTTGTCCCACACCAGGGCTTCACTCTTTCAGTATCAGGGGCACCTTCACCTGTTCAGCCACTTCCTTCCCCATCAGTGTTTCAACAATGGCCAACCCAAATTCAAAGCTGGTACCAGGGCCACGGCTGGTGAGGATGTTCCCATCTTTCTCCACACGGCTCTCGGAGTAGCGGTAGTGTGCTTGGGGGGACACACAACAGAAAGAGGGTCAGTCTCCAGCACAGTGCCCACAGTCCTGCCTGCCACAGGGCACTGCTGCCCGCGGGCCACAGCAGCTGAGGAGCGGCCGACAGTGACACGCTCTGCAGCAGGCACCGCAGGCACCTGCGTGAGCCCAGCCTGCCACAGGCTCTGCACCCCTGTCCCTCCAGAACCAAGCAGCTCCTCACTGCCTGCAGTCCTCAGGGAGGAAAAGGGCCTGCAGGGAGCTCTGGCAGCTTACTCACATGGTATGGGAACACACCTCTGATTCTACAAGCTCATCAAGAAGCGTTCACTGTGTCTGTCGCTTCCCTTGAGGTTACTTTTGGAAGTCAGACCCCTTTGTGTAGCTGTTCACAACTTTCTCTTTTCCAAATGCATGCAGAGGAAACCGGAGGAGCCCTGCCGTCTCCCGCTCACCTTCACACTCATTAATGTTCACAGAATGACTTCTTAACAGTGCTTCACCACCAATTCTTTAGGTATGACAAAGAAGTGCAGACCCATCAGCTGCTCATAGCACCAAAGCACTATTCATGGGAGAGCAGGAAAGGTGCTGCTGGGGTTTGCTGTTGGGACCACTGAGGCAAAGAACCAAAAGTGCAAGCCATGGCTCAGCCTCAAGAGAATAAGGGAACAAATGGTCCTAGGATGACAGCAGCAGTGTATTTTCCCCAAGGACAAGAATGTTAATACAGCCCTGTATTTTCAGACTAAAGAGACTTAGAAATAGTCTTGGCACACTCAGTTGATTTTTGATTATGTTCAGGAAAGCATTAAGGCAATTCAGAGATATAAAAATAAGGTACAAAAGCTATTTTCCTTTCTTTAAATCGAGGGTTAAGCTTAAAAAAACATAAAATCCAAGAACAGTTTAGAGAGAAACTTACGAAAGTCATTACATACCTCCATTCATCATTTTCTCTTTGGCCAAAGGATGTGTTGTGACTTTGCTTCCAAACCCTATCCCATGTGCCAGAAGGGCAGTAGGACCTGTAAGGACAGAGAAATGCACCAGTGAAGAACTGTTCTCAGCTACAAACACTTCAAGAACACACGTTCAGGCACTAGGCCCTCAAGGGGCCAAAGCTCACCATGGACAGACCACTTTCAACAAAACTGATGCCAGCCCTCTCTCTGAAGCAAAAAGCCTCAAAAAGAACACAGCTGTGTAAGCTCTCCCATTCTAGTACACAAAACACCGCTGCAGAGAAACAGATGAAGAAAAGAGGTTTAGAGAACACACAGTTCACGCAGCTGCCCTACCAGTGAGTGTGCTGCCTTTGAAGGAGTCAAGAACAATGGTTATTTTATTTCCAGGCAATACAATTTACTTAAAACTGCTCGAAATGAAGTAACAAAAAATCTGCATTTCAATCTGAATATTAATTAGGTACAATTAGGTGCAGCTGTAAAGAAAGCCACCAGGATGCTGGGTTGCATTAAGAAGGGCATCACCAGCAGAGACAAAGAAGTCATTATCCCTCTCTGCGTGGCACTGGTCAGACTACACCTTGAGCACTGTGTCCAGTTTTGGCCTCCGCTATACAAAAAAGACGTGGACAGGTTGGAAAGGTCCAGAGCAGGGCCACGAGGATGATCAGAGGACTGGAAGAGCTGAGAAAATGGGGCCTGTTCAGCCTTGGGAAGAGAAGGCTCAGGGGGGACCTTATCACCATGTACCAGTACATAAAGGGTGGCACCAAGAGGATGGAGACTCCCTTTAACAAGGGGTCAGACAAGGGGTAATGGACACAATTTGCTTCTGGAGAGATTCCCATTGAACTGCAGAAGAAATTTTTTTCACCATGAGATCAATCAGACACTGGAACAATCTCCCAGGGAAGTGGTGAATTCCCCTACATGGGTCAGGTTTAAGAGTCGGCTTGACAGGAGGCTGACTGCTCTCTTAAATGATACTTTTACCTCGAGAAGTTGGACCAGATGATCCTTGTGGTCCCTTCCAACCTGGGATTCTATGATTCTATTAATTACTTTACGTCCTTGTTAAGCCTTGGATTTAGAGACTCAGATAAAATTTTATTTGAGCAAGCCTTTACATGTTGGAATTGTGTGCCAAGCGGTATTTTGGACAGATCATGGGCTAACTGCTAAGTTTTTGTTTTAACAGTCTTTCTCTTTTGTTTTCATACTTCCTCCTTGGCCTGAATTGAGGAAGGAATTTGTGTCAAGAAGTCTTAGGTCATCTCACAGAAAATCCTTATGGGAATTCCAAAAGAAACTGAAGGCAGGACTTGCCTGGTGTGAGTTTCATTTATCTACATTTGATTCATTTCAGAGATAGTCCAGGAAATAATCTTTGTGTTCAGCTGGAAACAAGAAGCATTACAGCTAAATAAATGAACTGTCTTGATTACAAGCAAGGGCCTTTATTGGGCAATCATGAATTTGTGACTGTTCTGCAAGAGACAGAGAAGTAGCAGACTGCCACTGCCAAGTTCAAGAATGTTCACAGCTCCGTACACATACCCCTTAACTGAAGAATGAAAGCAAAAAAACCCCAGCAACGTACCACAGAACAGAAGGGAAAAGACACTCCACAAACACACTCTGTTAGACTTTTACACAGTCATCACCACTCTACTCGCTCTCAACTATGCGTACCTAGACCGGCCTCTCAGTTCAGCTGGGAGTACTGGCAATTGTTCATCTTGCTTTTTACCATACAAATCTTACAAGGCAGTGAACGGGATACCTAGCTGTGCAGGAGATGTAAGCAGACAACCCTCTCCTCAGAGTAATTCCACCTTTTGCTAACACTCAAATGAGGAAGGGTAAGCCTGTAATTCTATACTTACAGCCCTCCTTCTGAAGCCAAAGGGCAGGAGAGGAGATATGAGATAAATTTACAGCAGTTATGTTCTGCCAGCACTGTGGCCTAGCAGGAAGATCACCAGGATAAGAAAATATTGTGTAAAAAAAATCCTAGCACATTACATTTCACTTCTTATTTTATTTTGCTAAGAGAAGGAACTATCTACATGCCCCTTCAAAATGTCCAAAAGCTTTACAAAGCAATGTATCTTGCTAACTCACCTGCACATATAGCAGCAATGAGGCCTTTTCTGCTTTCCTGGTCCTTCAAAATGTCTTTCACAGCAGGAGACTGTATGAAGAAAACATATCACAAGTCACTGTTTGAGGCTGATTATTTGAAGCACGCTTGAAATATTTTCCACTGCAAATTAATATGTTTTACAAAGAAAACCAGCTGAGCGCTCTCCATCCTGCCTCAGAACAGAGAGCAACAAAAACACTAAGAAGGAAAAAAACTGAAACCACTAAATACTTGCCCTGCAAGGAAAGAGCAATGAAATCTGAAGGAACTGCAAGGAAGTACTTGGCCCCCATAAAAGCTGGTTAATCTGTGGCCATGGAAAGCTGGTCAAAACCTTCACAAGACAAATTGGAAAGAGTATTCATGAGATACCTCCAGACCGCCTCTATCATTCTTAAGAAGATTTATACAGGCTATTTGCCTCATATTCCAGGGCTTACAAGCGGTGTGATGCCATCTAAATCCTACCCAATAGACTGACTTGTTTGTCTGCCTGCCTTCCACAAGGTATTTATACCACCACTACAACAGTTTCGCACCAGAGACAGAATTCTTGAGCCAAGGAACAGAGTCCTGTGGGTTCAGCCTGGTTTTTATATTTCATGGAATTAAATCTTCATTTGCAAGTGTTTCACCTTCATATGATTATGAACAGAGATTTTTTCCCACAACACAGAGCACCCTTCCATTTTCATTCTGCTTAACTAGGTACTCAGGTCCAAGATTTTACCCCGTTGTCCCACCTATATTTTCACGAGAAGGCTTAAGACAATTAACAATTAGTTTACTGATTAACCCAGAAGATAATTTTCAGCTGCTGAGCTGAATTTGCAGGATTACTGAGCAAGTGCAGATCACTCACTATTCATGAAAACGCCCCTGAATCTTTAAGACACCAGAACTTTACCTCTGACAAGTTCTGAGCTCCAAGGTTACCCCCAGGCAGGACTACGACATCGTAAGGCCCCTAAAGAAAGAAAGAGAAAATTGTTCTGTTGAACAGAGGCTACTACATACACTACACTGTTTCAAGACCACTTCAGCTGAGTTGAGTGAAAACCAAAGGCATCTACCTTTTCTTCCACTGAACACCACTTTATGATCAGAACCAGTTCCAATTACGGAATAAACCACTGTTTCCTATTCCAGGAAAAGATTATTATTAATAATGTCTGACACAGAACTAACTTCTAAGCCCAGCGCATTTAACAGCTTCTGTCTGGTTCTTGCACTGTAAGGACAAGTGGTTTTGCTCCAACCTTACTGCTCATGTCTAACTACAGCATTGTTTAGCTTCCTGTCAGAACTCTTCAGCTGCTTCAAACCATGGTATTTCATTGGGCCAACTAACATACAAAAACAAAGATCTACCTTTGCAAAAACAAATACCTGCGCAGAATTAAGAACTCTGCCTGATCCTAGCATGCTATGAAGCAGGACCGCATTGAAGGGGAGCACTGCAGGATGTGCAGTTCTGTGATTCACTACTTCATAGAGCTAACATAACACGCAACGTATTTCTACAGGTAACTCATAAACTTTCCAAATTCACCTCTGAAATTATGAGAAAGGCTATTTTCACCATTTTATTAGATCAGAGTGATGACCAACCTCTTTTCTGGCATCTTCAAGACTGGCATCAGGGCAAATGAAGACATCTCGACTGCACTGCACTGGCTCTTTTCCTGCTAGGCCTGCAACCGTCACCTTGATCTAACAGAAGAATACACACATCGTTACTATTCAACAATTTAGGGCATTTTTCTTACATGTTAGTTCTTAAGCAGTACACAGAATAAGCGAAGCACTACAGAAAGCTGTCAAGAATAGGGCAACACTTAGGTTTCCCCAAACCATGAGTAGGTCCAAAAGCACAAGGTAAGCAGTGATACTGACCTAGAGGTTAACAAATACATCTAATAGTTCAACTTTGCAAACATGACATTTAGAGACTATCCGATCTCACACATTTTAAACAAAACAAAACAATACAACCCAGGAAAGCCAGACTAAGTAGATCAGACGACAACTCAAAGTCTCTCTGCAAGCTCAAGCCATTCTCAAGCACACTTACAGCATGTTTAATTTTCTTCCTTGACTTTTGGATGCCTGGTCGTAACATCACAGATGTGCACAGCACAGCTTGCATTCACTACATAAGCAGACACACTTGTGCTTCTTATGACAGCCCAAATGGGGAATACATTAATAGAATGATGAAGGTGGTGGGAGAAGGTAATTTTTATTTTAGTCATTTCTATAAATGAGAAGTCAGTGCATCTACTCAAAATCTTACTTTCCTGCCTAATCAGATGATAACACCGTGTACCACTGCAGTTGCAACAGTAACAAACACCATGAGGAATCCCACCAGACAGAATTCCAGTTTACAACAGAATTTTAAAAGTGGCTCAAGAAAAGCTACGTAATGTCATGAACTGTCATGTACTGAGCTGCTCAGAACCCTACAAAAAAAGCACTTCCTGTCACTACCCATGGCAGTAGCCATGTTTTCTGACAGGCTAAGATTGACTGGAAACATCTGCTCTAACCTACATTAGGCTTGTATTCTAAAAGTTTATCTTTTGCACAAATGTCAGTTATCATGCGTGCTTATCTGGGACACGGCAGAAATATTTGCTAACCAGTAAGAAGTCACAGGTGAATTCTTACCTCATACAACAGACCACAGCTTAAACTCCCAGAAACCAGTATCAACTTGAGACAAAGACTTTTCCCTTGACCAAGCACATGCAAAAAGATTTTTCACTGTCTGAATACTCACCCCAGCTCTTCTCATAACATCAGTGGGGATTACAGTTTCCATTTCCTCTGCCCCTTTTGCTAGAATCACCAACGCTCTTTTTGAGGCCATTCTCTTGAGGCGTTGCTATTAGGCGAGACGGCTGTGGAGGGAGGGGCTGAGGGGGTAGAGAGAGACAATGTGGGTAGGAGTCAAATCCCCTAGTACAAATCCTTCCTAATGGTGAAGTTTAACAGAGAGCAAGTTGCATTTTTGCATTATTTTTCATTTAAGCCACCTCAAAATGGTTCACTGGTTTTAATTTATATTCAAACCAATCGCATTGAACTAAAGAGCTTTTTACAAAGAATGCATTATTGGAGTTGTTCAGCCTGAGGAAGAGAAGGCTCCAGGGAGACCTTACAGCAGCTTTCCAGTACCTGAAGGGAGCCTACAGGAAAGCTGGGGAGGGACCTTGTACAGGGGCATGGAGTGACAGGACGAGGTGGGATGGCTTTAGACTGGAATTTGGGAGATTTCGACTGAGTCTTGGGCAGCAATTCCTGGCTGTGAGGTGGTGAGGCCCTGGCCCAGGTTGCCCAGAGAAGCTGTGGGTGCCCCCTCCCTGGCAGTGCCCAAGGCCAGGTTGGACAGGGCTGGGAGCAGCCTGGGCTGGTGGAGATGTCCCTGCCCATGGGGGTTGGGCTGGGTGAGTCTGAGGTCACTTCCCACCCAAACCAGTCTGGGATTATGATATCAAGGGATTAAGACATTTGTGCAGTGTGAGGCACAGCACATCAGCACCAGAACAAGAAACCGATCACCTAATCAAGACTTTACGTGACTTGAGTCTGACAGAGAGAAGGGTTCAAGGTGGGTGGCAGAGTTGTTTTCAGCTTGCACACCCTCACTCGCACAGACTACTGACTCCTACCCAGGTCAGCATTTATAAAAAGGGCTTGCATGGGCTTTGACCTCATGTCTGGTATTTAGTTTCCACACAGCACGCTCCGTGAAGTTTCCTGTGACTTATAATGACTCGACCAGTGCCCTGCAAAACCTGAGCAATAGCTTTCATGGGTATTTCACAGTTTTGTGGGGGAGAAACGTGTGTTCACATGTGTGATGGGGGAGCAGACCACAGAACTTAGCAAATGGAACAAACTAGGCTTAAGACTTTTTTTTTTACACTCCTAAATTCAAGTTGAGGTGAAAAGTCAAATTTCCATTTGAAGGTTAAGTTCAAGTAACTCTAATTACATCATGTACAATACGCACTAACTCATACTGGTCTGACAGAAGTCTGTGAAAGCATCTGTGGTGTGAGAAGGCATTTCACAGCTCATCCACTCTGTGAGACAGGGATTTTTTCCTATGCAAGGACCTTCTATCAAAAAATGCACATAGCACCTGGGAGCTCTCCATAAAATGAGACCCACGTTTAGTTGCCTACATGAAAGAAAACCATCCTCTCATCCTGCTTCAACTTCCTCTATTCTTACATTTGCTCCCTCCTGTTAGCCTAATTCAGAAAGACGCTATTTCTAGAAGGCAGTAATATACATCAGAACACCCTGCAGCATGCAGAACCAGCCCAAGCAGATGAACTCTGTGTGTTAAATCCTACTTTTAGAGCAGCTTTATGTACTATCAAATGCAAGGACAACTGAACAAGTACACTCAAATCCTACACATGAGCAATAACTTCAGGACAACCCGGAATTTCAAAATAATTCATCTTGAAGGTACAGGTTGATTCTGCAAAATTAATTTTCAAATAAATGTCGCTAACTACCAACAGACTACCTGAACAGTTACAACTCAGAAACACTGCATTTGCTTCTGACTGTAGAAAAATATTCTAGATCATAGCTTGTATCCCTCTCTTTCATTAGTTCTTCAAATACAAATAAGCACTTGATCCTGAAAGCTTTTCTCTCTTCCCCCTAATGTAGCAAAATGCAGTTTCTCCCTACTGTCCTCAGACATTTATCATAATATGCTGAAAAATTCTTGAGCATTAGTACCGTTCTTTACGTGGGTGTGTACGTAAATAGCTGTCACACCGTAAATGCTACCAGGGCAAGTCTGTTTTCCGAGAAGGCAGAACCAAGTTACAGAGACATAACGGCCACTCTGTTTAACAAGCTCCATTAACGCACAGTAAACACAAGTCTCTCATTTGCTTGCCAGCGTCAGCACGTGCACAGGATGCCTGAGCTCTACGCTAAACGCAATCCCCTACGTGGGGACGTGCACGTTGCTGGAGATCGTGACTTCTGGCAGATGGCTCAACTGGATGCTGCGGGAAGGCTGGCTTTAAAAAAATCACGCCCTTCAGAGCCCCGACCAAACAGCTACCAGAGTAAGGGAAGCTGTACGGGTCAGCAGCTCGGCCCGCCCGGACGAAGGGCTGCGTTGCGCGCGTTCGCGTCTTTGTTTCAGGCCTCGGCGCCGATCGAGGCCCAGTCTCTCAAAAGGCCGCG